ATTTCGTACGTGACTAGAATATAGGTTAGGGGACTAAGAAAACGTCTCCACATAAGAAGAATAATGACTCACTGCTTGAGACTTGGATGAACGAGCCTTTTCGGATGGACGAGCTTCCTGAGCGCTTCGGCGCTCGAGCACATTGCGAAGGAAGCTGCGAATAGCTCGGTACTTCGCCGGAAATGTGTACTTTCCGTCGGAAGCCTCTTCATGAGTCTCATATGCTTGTCGAAGCTTGAACAATGGTTCGTGCGCGGTGATATCACCAGCAGGAACCTTGTCAGCTTCAATCTGAGCAATGACCTTGGACTGGAAGAGTTTAAATGAGGATCTGATAGAAAATTTGATAGAAATGATTCGTACTGCGACATCAGAGGTTGCCTCGAGCATAACCTCAATGACACTATGGTCAGAAGACCTCAAGACCTTCTCCAGGATTGTGAGCTTATCACACAAGCCGGAATGGAGGGCCTTGAACGCAGTAGACCAAGCAGGAGTACGCGGCATTGAAAGAGAAGAAGAAATATGCGATAAGGTGTGTTGAAAATGCGAGGCGAGTGTGTGCGATGTTGGTTTGAAAGGGATCCAGCGCACCACACAGATTTTATATGAGAGCTATGGAATTCTGGAGAAAAGAATAGAAAACCGGATAAAAATTAAAGTCGCCTGGAGGCGCACTTAGAGAATGGCGCAAGCGCGCCGCACTTGGACACCGCTGTCGCTCAACCAAGAGACTCCGAGCGTACCAAGGGATGGAAATTTTTCAATGACATCATAAATCCACTAGAATGACGACGAGACCCGCCAAGTCGCCTTTGACGGAGAGCTGATAGAGAAACACATACTTTGAGCATTGACTCAGTCCCACCGTGGTTGACTGAGGACAGTCGTCTTTCAGTGGGGGGGAGATGATACGGCGACTTCTTTTTTGGTAATGAAACGTCATGAATTCGATAGTTTGACTTGCCATGAGAGAGACACGACCGAGTGTGGTCGTGAGAGAGTGGTGGCAGTGCAGACTTGGGCGCATCCCATGGCACAGCCCCTAGGCCGAGTGATGGTCGCATGACCAATGTCCACAGGCGCCTAGACATGCCTGCACTTTCACGCGATCACCAGTAGCGAATTGACCAATAGAATGGTCAGAGATAATTTTTGATACTAACGGATGAGTAAGAACGATCTTAGCCCTGGTGACATTGCGTCATTCAGCTGCGCGGG